GCATCGGCAGGAAAACTGGCTACGTGAAACACATGCGCATTAGAACGGGGTTCGCGCAGACGCCCCCCTGCAGTGCCTCGGAACCGTACGCTGGAACGACAAATAGGAACTGGGCGCCAACGACCGATTGACGACGCGCCGCTGGCAGCACGTTGCATCTCACGACCCTCTGGAATGGAAAGGCGACCGCGAAAGGCGCGTCGCTGCGCCGCCTAGCGGGGCCCACGATGTCTCGGAACATCACATCCCTGAAACGGAGGTTGGCCCCTCGGGCGCCCGCCAGAGCACCCAGGGAGACCGAGGGCCTCGGCCACAAGAGAGGAGGGGGGGGGGGGGGGGCACGACGCGCTTCACGCGCTGCGAGCGCCAGGCCAGCATGGACCCCCCGGCTCGGCGGCGGCGCTTCCCCTGGGAGCCATGACGATCCAACCCCCTGAGTCGCCAGGATGCGAAGTTCGGTCTCTCGGCATCATGACAAGATACACTTGTTCTAGCACGTATTTCGCCTGGTATATGAAGATGTGGGTTCACCAGCTGACGAATACGACTGCATTATCAGCCCCACTTTCCTGCCGCCTCCCGCATTGGAACCTGGTCGACATGGGCCCCTGCACCTCGGCCTCACAAGCCTGCTCGCATCCTAGAACGAGGTCGTCTACGTCGATGACCACGAAAACCTGCAAGGGCCCACCAAGCTGACACTTCTTCAAATAACGGGCTCGCGAAGACTGCGCCAGAATCCTAGAGAGAAGTTGCGAGGTGAGCGCCTGATGGCATCGCGTCGGAGCACCGTTCAGCCCGCACACGGGAGCCGCGAATTCGATGAGACTTCCGCGAGGTAGACCCAATCCACCACAGGGTTCGCAGCACAGCTTCCCGCTGGGGCGAGAGAGGGGACCAGCCCGATAGGAAGCGTTCTTCGCGCCCTCGAACTGCAGACGCCAACGCCTGCCTACGATCACCTGCAAAGCCACGCACATGGACTCTTCCTGCGGCGTCGGGGCGTAGACTAAAGACATTCGGCGCCAGGGCCGCCACGCCCTCGGACGCGCCACCTCGACTTTGGACTCGGGGCGGGGGCGGCGCCCTCCCGGGCCCACGGGGGCTTCACCGCCTGACCATCCCGGGCGAAAGAACGCGGCACTTAAGTTGTCGCCCCACTAGTTTGGCGAGCTCAGGGGCCTGGACCGTCACAGGGCGCCCAGGATGGATTGCCATTCCTTGGCGACTGAACCTCGAGGCGCGTCTCGCGCCAACTGATACGGCTTGCTCCGCGCGATTTCCCGGCCACGCCGATGTCCGCCGCTTCCGCCGGGAGGGCCCCCAGCCCATATCGCAAACAACCAGCTCTCCCTGCCGGGCGCCACCCCGCCCGTCATCTCCGGGGCAATTCTCACTCTCGCCCCCAGGACTGAGACACATAAAGCTCTCCTCGAGACTGGGCGGCATCGGAGGCACGCGTCCTGGAGGCGCCTCCTGGCCAGAAGAGCAGGGGGGCGAGGCGCAAATAGAACGAGGGGAAACAGCCGGAGCGGGGCCGCCCAGAGGCCGGCTGGATCCCACTCCCCCGGCCCACTGAGAAGTTTCCTAAGCCTTCCCCGAAGACAAAGAAAACCTCTCAGAAGGCGCGAGGGCTTCCGAGAAGGCCTGCCGCCATCTGAGTAGGCCTTCTCTATCTCACCCCCCCCCTCGCCCGCCGCCGAATTGGCGCGCTCCGGCACTGGTGGGCTCGCCAGCTCCCCCATGGGAATCGCACGCGAGCCGTCGCCCCCACCGAAGGGGGGGGGCCCGCAAGACGTGGAGCGGACCCTTCTGCCACGGTACACCACAGGCTCGGGCGAGTCAATCTCGTCGGACGGCGGCGGCTCAGCCCGATCTTCCGAAGCGGGACGAGGGGCCTTCGCTGGGCCCCCGTCGCCCAACGTCTGAGCGCTCTCTGGGCGCGACGGCCCCTCGCTCACTGGAACTCCGTCTTCGGTGCCACTCGCGTTGGTCTGTGGGTCGTCGCCGGCCGAGCCGCTCTCTCTGCCGCAGCTGGCCGAAGTGGGAGGCGAGGCGGGAATTTCGCTGGGCATGGGAGACGAGGGGCCCAGAAATTTGCGGCACGGAAAACGCCCGTCGAGAGGGCAAGGTCGACCCACCGAGAGGACCGCGAGAACTGGCCGAAGGGGCAGGCGTCACTCCCTCCTCGCGTCGACACAGGGACCAGCCCCAAACTTCGCCGGAGGGGGGGGCCTCTCCTTCGACATTGACGGCCCCAATATTGCGATCTGGGTGGCGCGCCTGTTGCTGCGGCTGTCGATGAGCTCTGCACCCTGCGACTCGGCTCGGGCGGCTTCGCGAACATGCTCGACGCTGCATTTCCATGCAACGGCGCAAGGCAACCCTCGCGGCAGCGCCGCGATGGCACGCCACCGCCCCTGGCCCCACCCGCCGACCCCGCAAGAGGGCGCGAGTCCTGATGCACACCGCCCGCCTCCAAACGAAAACCCATTGCCCGGCAAGAAAACCTGGTCCACGCGCTTCCGCGCTCGGGCGGCCTCTTGGACCTCATCAAGGCCTTCCCACATGCGACGCGGCCCAGCTAAATTCCCCACGACGGCGCCCCCACCGCCCACGTCGGCGCGACGCCCTCGAGACCAACAGCGCCCATGGGCTCGCCACTCAGAAGCGCGGCACTCGGACGGAGAGGATTTGGGCTGATGGCGACTTGGCAACAGGAAAAGCCAGACCTGTGGAAATGTATGTTCGACGGCCAGGGCCTCCTTCTGCTGGCGCATCTCCCGGCGACAACGAGGAGCTCTTGCTGAGATTCTGCGACGAACGCGAGCCGGAGCCCCTAGCACACTCAAGGAACTCGGGCTCAGTGGCGGCCTTGCGTACTCCTTTTGAACCGCGGCCTTGCCCGTCAATGCGTTGTACATCCACTTTCGAGACAGGAAGCACATATTCGTGATCTCGTGGTGATACCTTCGGCTGGTAACCAAGATTTTGCCGATTCATCATGGATCAGGGCATTGTCTTGATCCTGCTGATGGGCTCCTGTTCTTGACGTGGTGCTTCAAAGTAGTGGTCTCAAGTTCCGCTGAGTAGGGCATGTACTTGTCGCCGTGGCTACGATGTCACTGAAGCGGATGCTGTACAAGGCAGTTTTTTTCAATACATAGGCTTTATACATATACATACCAAAAACAAACACACACACACACACACAATACAAAAAAAAACGATTTATCATATGATTACTGTATGAGTAAATGCATGCATGAACTCATCGTTGTTTTAATACTAAATCCCTGCATTTTTTGTACATGATCCGCACGCGGAACATGTATTCAAAACGGCACTGTAGAGTAGAAGCGCACGATATAGCCGGCCAAGGGACGGAGGCCGGCCGCGCGCGCGCGAGCACCTTGCACTGAGCAGAAATAGAGCTGCAGATGCAATGTCGATAGTGGCGGCGCCAACGATCAAACCTGGACGTTGGCACCAAGCGGCAGGGCACACGAGGGGAGCGTAGCTGCATGACTCTATCTCACCTCTAGGTCCCGTCGCTGGATGAACTGCGCCAGCGTCTTCCCGCTCCTGATCTCTACTTCCCCCAACACTCGTCGCAACGCTTCTCTCTGCTTCTCGTCGCCCCGGTCTCCGCGGCATTGCTGCAAATACTTTCTCAGCACCTCGAAACCGCTCTCCGAGCCAGTGTCCTCCTGGATGTGCATCGGCTTCTCCTGCGAGTCCATCACCAGTCCATCCACCACTCGGCCGCCCTGGGCGGCACGCGACAAGGCCGATCGCATGGACCATCTCTTCAGACTGGCAATCCACGCGTCGAGGCGTCCGAAGCCCTGCCACGCCTTTTGGCGGCGACTGGCGCCCCCGCAGCAGCGCCAGCCAGCGCCCTCGGCGCGCCGGCCACGCCCAGCGCGGTCGCTGGCGGCGCCGAGGGGGCCAGGCTCGACCACTCATGCGTCTCCCCGCGCCCGGGCCACAGCACCACGAAGCTTTCGCTCGTGCCAGCGGCTGCGCGGGCTGCCCGAGCTCGAGCTGGGGCTGCAGCTCGCGCGCCTCCCCACGGATCCTGATACGTCCAGGGATCCTCCGGTCGATGGGACCACGACCACCACGATCTCCACCAAGACCAGCTCCCCTGGCAGCTCCAGTCCTCACAGGACGGCCCTGCCACCTCGCCGTGTCCTGGCACGTCATCGTCGTCTAGGTGCGATGGGTCCTTGTCGCCTGCTGGCTGCGACCCGTGAGCCGTCGACTCGGTTCGTGCCTCCTCCTGTTCCCGCATCAGTTTCTTGCTGTTGCGCTCGATCTCGCTCAAACATGTTTGCTCCGCTTACCCATAATTCGTCGCACATCAGCGAAAGAAAAAGCGCTGGTAACTGTAAGGTTGCCTTTTTAGGCCGTTGGCGCACGCTCGAGCCACCGCGGTTGCGGTGAAGTCGAATAGAAACGCAATAGAAACTCGATGGGAACTCAGAGGGTGGGGGGCGGGGTGATATGGAACAGGGGAACACCTCCCACTCCTTCCGCTCCAGTTCCTGTCGTTGCTGCTCGTCCTCGTTTTCACCCTTCCTCATCCTCCCCCTTATTCCTCCTGCTCGTCCAACTGATCACCAGCTTCCTCCTCCTCCTCATCCTCCTCATCCTCATCCTCCTTTTCCTATGTGTGCAGCTCCCTTTTTCCGATTGCGCGCAACAAAATGGGCTCTCCTTTTGGAAGTTCCAGGTCGGCTACGACACGCTTCCGCGGAAAGGAGAAAACAAAAAAAACAAAAAAATGTGAAGGGGTGGGAGGGAGGGATAGGATGTCTGAAATGTCGCGAGCGCACCCCGCTTGCCCCTTCCCCCTCCCCCCGCTCCCCCCCCCCCGCCACGCTGCCCCTCCCACCCCGTCTCCCCCCCTCCTCCTCATCCTCCTCCTCCTCCTCCTCCTCCTCCTCCTCCTTCTCCTTCTCCTCCTCCTCCTCCCCTGGAGCTGGGCCGCGGGCACGCCGCGCCGGGGGATCGGCGACGCCCCGGCGCCCCGGCGAGGCGCCCGGCCCAGGCTGGCGCCTCGGAGGGGCCGTCCGCTCTGCCGCGTCGGATCCTCGACGCTCTCCCTCGTCCTCCTCCTCCTCCTCCTCCTCCTCCTTCCTCTCCTCCTCCCTCCTCCTCTCCTCCTCCTCCTCCCTCCTCCCTCCTCCTCCCTCCTCCTCCTCCTCTCCCCCTCGTCTCCCTGACCTCTGCCCCTGCTTCGGGTTGCCTGCCCGTTTTGTGTATGTCCCCATTAAGGTGCTCACGGGCGCTGTCGCCTGCCACCTCCTGCCACGCCACGACCTGCAGGTCAGGCGCCCCCCTCCCGCCGTCCCAGATCCTCCTCCTCCTCCTCCTCCTCCTCCCTCCCTCCTCCTCCTCCTCCTCCTCCTCCTGCCCAGATCCTCCTCCTCTTCCTCCCCCTGCCCTCCTGCCTCCGTGTGCCCCTGATCGGGCTAGGGAGGACGTCACGGGCCACGTCGCTGCGCTTCCTGCTACGTCAACTGATTGCAAGCACAATTTATCAAGGTGGTGAATAAATGTGATCCTCCTTTTCCTCCTCCTTTCTCCTCCTCCTCCTCCTTTCTCCTTCCTCCTCTTCCTTCCTTCTCCCTCTCATCCTCCTCCTTATCCTCCTAAACATCATCCTAAACATCCTCCTCATCATCATCAGCACCATCAGCACCATCAGCACCATCAGCACCATCATCATCATCATCAGCAGCATCATCATCAGCATCATCATCATCATCATCAGCAGCAGCATAATCATCATCATTGTCATCATCATCCTCAACCTCATCATCAGCAGCATCATCATCAGCATCATCATCATCAGCATCGTCATCATCATCATCAGCAGCAGCATCAGCATCATCAGCGTCATCTTCATCAACATCATCATCATCAGCAGCATAAGCATCATCATCACAATCATCAGCATCATCATCAGCAGCAGCATAATCATCATCATCCTCATCCTCATCCTCATCCTCATCCTCCTTCCTCCTCATCATCCTTTCTCCTCCTCCTCCTCCTCATCCTTCCTCCTCCTCATCCTCTTCATCCTCCTCCCCATCCTCCCCAATATCCTCCTACTCATCATCACTTTCCTCCGCCCTCATCCTCATGATCCTCATCCTCCTCATCCTCATCCTCCGTCCTCCTCCTCATCCTCCGTCCTCCTCATCCTCCTTCCTCCTTGTCCTGTTCCTCCTCCTTCCTCCTCCTCCTCCTCATCCTTCCTCATCCTCCTCCTCCTCCTCTTCCTCCATCCAGCCTCCTACCTCCCCGTCCCCCTCCCTGCCTCACATGCCCATACGCCTCATATCGTCCTCATCCTCCTCCTCCTGCGCCTGCTCCTGTTTCCTCTCCTGCTCGCCTCCGCAACTGGGAGGAGGGAGAAGGGAGGATTGGACTGGCAGAGGCAACGACGAACCGAAAGCACTTCTGAACGGAACCCGCGTGCTCGGGATCGCAAGCTCTGAAGAAGGGAGTACGCAACAGGCCACCCTAGGTCGTGCCTGTGGCCCAAGACGACCTGCCCCAAGGAGGAAGTGGGGAAGCTGGAGAGGAAGAGGGAGGATGGAGGGCGACGGAGGCAGGCAGAGAAGGTATCGGGGGGAGGAGCGGGAGCTGGAGGGGGGGGGGGGGCGGAACAGACGAGAGGGCGAGAAAGCAAGATGATAACGGACGGCGAGGGAGGGACTCGCGGGCTACCCGCCACTGCCAGTCTCCCCGAAGCACTTTTCGTGGGCGGCGAGGCAGAAGTGCTGCTCCAGCGGGCTGGCGATCGGGACCGATACGCTAATTGGCCGGCGTGCAGGAAGGGCGGAACTAGACAGATAGGGCAGCCGCAGCCTCTCCGAAACGCGAGGGTTGCGGATTTGAACATCACGGCAGAGGTGTAGAGCAGCAGGCACTGATGCAGCAGGAATCTCCGCAGCACCATCCATAGCATTCGGGAAGACCCTCCAGGCAGAACTCGGCTGCACGCAAATGCGACCATGGGCAAGAGTGAACTTTGGTGCGCGCCAATACAGGGGCCGCGGGGGGAGGGGGGGAATCCAGGCGCGCGAGCCCATGCTGAGGGATCCCCTGTGGGCCCGCCCAAAAGGTCCCTTTGGCGAAGGGTCGCTCTCACCTGTATCAGGGAAAGGGGATCGGCAGGGAGGAACATCGCCCTGGAACCTCGACCTGGCATCGGCATTACACCGCCGACTGATGGGGGATAGGCCCTCGATGGCGAAACCGCAGTCCTGGGCGGAGTAAGCTCTCAGGCCCCTAGCTGCGACCAGTGGGCGATCGGGGTCGATGCGCCCTTTCCCCTGAGCCCCTCCTCCTCCTCCTCTTCATTCTCCTCCTCCCCCTCCTCCTCCTCCTCCTCCTCCTCCTCCTCTCCTCCTCCTCCTCCTCCTCCTCCTCCTCCTCCTCCTCCTCCTCCTCCTCCTCCTCCTCCTCCTCTCCTCACCCCCCCCCCCAACGTTGCCCCTCAGTGCAGCTGGGGACATCCTGCCCCGCGCCTCGCCGAAGCAGCCCGGCCGCCAGTGCGGCCGCGGCCACCCACGCGGCCGCCCCAGCGCGGGCCGCAGGGGCGGCGCTGGCCGCAGGCGGGGCGGCGCCGGCGTGTGCTGAGGAGCCGAGCCTGCCGCCAGCCCAGGGATCGCGAGGGGATACTCCAGATTTCGTAATCAAAGGGAGGGGGTCTGGACCCTCCAAGACAAGCCATTTCAGACCTCCCCCGTGGGAGAACCCTCCAAAACATCGTCCCCAGACCCCCCCAGGCCCTCCAAGATACCTTGGAAAAGACCCCCCCCGAAATGAGACCCCCCTCCCTTTATTACGAAATCTGGAGTACGTCGCCCAAACACGGCAGGCTCGTGTCGTGGCGACTTGCGCGTTGGCTTCTGCCACCGCTCGGACTTGAAGCCTTGAAGGACCAGGGCCATCCGATAGCGCAAGTCGTTCGACACTGGCCGATTCTGGGACACTGGCGGTATTCGACCTCAAACGCCCGCGCTAGGATCGGCTTCCATTCCAGAACCAGAACGACTGCCGTGAACCATTAGATCTTTCTGCCGTCGGAAGCCACAAACTTTCCTGTATCGTGCAGGTTGGCCTCCTAGAGCATCTGAGCAGAGCGACGATGCAGGTACAAGACACGAAGGTTCCTCTCATCTCCCCTTTCACTTGCTCGCAGCGCTTTGGCACAATTCTGGATCGTCCCCATCAGCACCGCGTCCCCATCTCCTCCCTCGCTCCCTTCGCCTTTCCCTCTCTCCATCTCTACTCCAGATTTCGTAATCAAAGGGAGGGGGTCTGGACCCTCCAAGACAAGCCATTTCAGACCTCCCCCGTGGGAGAACCCTCCAAAACATCGTCCCCAGACCCCCCCAGGCCCTCCAAGATACCTTGGAAAAGACCCCCCCCGAAATGAGACCCCCCTCCCTTTATTACGAAATCTGGAGTACGTCGCCCAAACACGGCAGGCTCGTGTCGTGGCGACTTGCGCGTTGGCTTCTGCCACCGCTCGGACTTGAAGCCTTGAAGGACCAGGGCCATCCGATAGCGCAAGTCGTTCGACACTGGCCGATTCTGGGACACTGGCGGTATTCGACCTCAAACGCCCGCGCTAGGATCGGCTTCCATTCCAGAACCAGAACGACTGCCGTGAACCATTAGATCTTTCTGCCGTCGGAAGCCACAAACTTTCCTGTATCGTGCATGTTGGCCTCCTAGAGCATCTGAGCAGAGCGACGATGCAGGTACAAGACACGAAGGTTCCTCTCATCTCCCCTTCACTTGCTCGCAGCGCTTTGGCACAATTCTGGATCGTCCCCATCAGCACCGCGTCCCCATCTCCTCCCTCGCTCCCTTCGCCTTTCCCTCTCTCCATCTCTACTCCAGATTTCGTAATAAAAGGGAGGGGGTCTGGACCCTCCAAGTCAAGCCATTTCAGACCTCCCCCGTGGGAGAACCCTCCAAAACATCGTCCCCAGACCCCCCCAGGCCCTCCAAGATACATTGGAAAAGACCCCCCCCCGAAATGAGACCCCCCTCCCTTTATTACGAAATCTGGAGTACGTCGCCCAAACACGGCAGGCTCGTGTCGTGGCGACTTGCGCGTTGGCTTCTGCCACCGCTCGGACTTGAAGCCTTGAAGGACCAGGGCCATCCGATAGCGCAAGTCGTTCGACACTGGCCGATTCTGGGACACTGGCGGTATTCGACCTCAAACGCCCGCGCTAAGATCGGCTTCCATTCCAGAACCAGAACGACTGCCGTGAACCATTAGATCTTTCTGCCGTCGGAAGCCACAAACTTTCCTGTATCGTGCATGTTGGCCTCCTAGAGCATCTGAGCAGAGCGACGATGCAGGTACAAGACACGAAGGTTCCTCTCATCTCCCCTTCACTTGCTCGCAGCGCTTTGGCACAATTCTGGATCGTCCCCATCAGCACCGCGTCCCTATCTCCTCCCTCGCTCCCTTCGCCTTTCCCTCTCTCCATCTCTACTCCAGATTTCGTAATAAAAGGGAGGGGGTCTGGACCCTCCAAGACAAGCCATTCCAGACCTCCCCCGTGGGAGAACCCTCCAAAACATCGTCCCCAGACCCCCCCCATGCCCTCCAAGATACCTTGGAAAAGACCCCCCCCCGAAATGAGACCCCCCTCCCTTTATTACGAAATCTGGAGTACGTCACCCAAACACGGCAGGCTCGTGTCGTGGCGACTTGCGCGTTGGCTTCTGCCACCGCTCGGACTTGAAGCCTTGAAGGACCAGGGCCATCCGATAGCGCAAGTCGTTCGACACTGGCCGATTCTGGGACACTGGCGGTATTCGACCTCAAACGCCCGCGCTAGGATCGGCTTCCATTCCAGAACCAGAACGACTGCCGTGAACCATTAGATCTTTCTGCCATCGGAAGCCACAAACTTTCCTGTATCGTGCATGTTGGCCTCCTAGAGCATCTGAGCAGAGCGACGATGCAGGTACAAGACACGAAGGTTCCTCTCATCTCCCCTTCACTTGCTCGCAGCGCTTTGGCACAATTCTGGATCGTCCCCATCAGCACCGCGTCCCCATCTCCTCCCTCGCTCCCTTCGCCTTTCCCTCTCTCCATCTCTACTCCAGATTTCGTAATAAAAGGGAGGGGGTCTGGACCCTCCAAGACAAGCCATTTCAGACCTCCCCCGTGGGAGAACCCTCCAAAACATCGTCCCCAGACCCCCCCAGGCCCTCCAAGATAGCCTGGAAGAGACCCCCCCCGAAATGAGACCCCCCTCCCTTTATTACGAAATCTGGAGTACGTCGCCCAAACACGGCAGGCTCGTGTCGTGGCGACTTGCGCGTTGGCTTCTGCCACCGCTCGGACTTGAAGCCTTGAAGGACCAGGGCCATCCGATAGCGCAAGTCGTTCGACACTGGCCGATTCTGGGACACTGGCGGTATTCGACCTCAAACGCCCGCGCTAGGATCGGCTTCCATTCCAGAACCAGAACGACTGCCGTGAACCATTAGATCTTTCTGCCGTCGGAAGCCACAAACTTTCCTGTATCGTGCATGTTGGCCTCCTAGAGCATCTGAGCAGAGCGACGATGCAGGTACAAGACACGAAGGTTCCTCTCATCTCCCCTTCACTTGCTCGCAGCGCTTTGGCACAATTCTGGATCGTCCCCATCAGCACCGCGTCCCCATCTCCTCCCTCGCTCCCTTCGCCTTTCCCTCTCTCCATCTCTACTCCAGATTTCGTAATAAAAGGGAGGGGGTCTGGACCCTCCAAGACAAGCCATTTCAGACCTCCCCCGTGGGAGAACCCTCCAAAACATCGTCCCCAGACCCCCCCAGGCCCTCCAAGATACCTTGGAAAAGACCCCCCCCGAAATGAGACCCCCCTCCCTTTATTACGAAATCTGGAGTACGTCGCCCAAACACGGCAGGCTCGTGTCGTGGCGACTTGCGCGTTGGCTTCTGCCACCGCTCGGACTTGAAGCCTTGAAGGACCAGGGCCATCCGATAGCGCAAGTCGTTCGACACTGGCCGATTCTGGGACACTGGCGGTATTCGACCTCAAACGCCCGCGCTAGGATCGGCTTCCATTCCAGAACCAGAACGACTGCCGTGAACCATTAGATCTTTCTGCCGTCGGAAGCCACAAACTTTCCTGTATCGTGCATGTTGGCCTCCTAGAGCATCTGAGCAGAGCGACGATGCAGGTACAAGACACGAAGGTTCCTCTCATCTCCCCTTCACTTGCTCGCAGCGCTTTGGCACAATTCTGGATCGTCCCCATCAGCACCGCGTCCCCATCTCCTCCCTCGCTCCCTTCGCCTTTCCCTCTCTCCATCTCTACTCCAGATTTCGTAATAAAAGGGAGGGGGTCTGGACCCTCCAAGACAAGCCATTTCAGACCTCCCCCGTGGGAGAACCCTCCAAAACATCGTCCCCAGACCCCCCCAGGCCCTCCAAGATACCTTGGAAAAGACCCCCCCCGAAATGAGACCCCCCTCCCTTTATTACGAAATCTGGAGTACGTCGCCCAAACACGGCAGGCTCGTGTCGTGGCGACTTGCGCGTTGGCTTCTGCCACCGCTCGGACTTGAAGCCTTGAAGGACCAGGGCCATCCGATAGCGCAAGTCGTTCGACACTGGCCGATTCTGGGACACTGGCGGTATTCGACCTCAAACGCCCGCGCTAGGATCGGCTTCCATTCCAGAACCAGAACGACTGCCGTGAACCATTAGATCTTTCTGCCGTCGGAAGCCACAAACTTTCCTGTATCGTGCATGTTGGCCTCCTAGAGCATCTGAGCAGAGCGACGATGCAGGTACAAGACACGAAGGTTCCTCTCATCTCCCCTTCACTTGCTCGCAGCGCTTTGGCACAATTCTGGATCGTCCCCATCAGCACCGCGTCCCCATCTCCTCCCTCGCTCCCTTCGCCTTTCCCTCTCTCCATCTCTACTCCAGATTTCGTAATAAAAGGGAGGGGGTCTGGACCCTCCAAGACAAGCCATTTCAGACCTCCCCCGTGGGAGAACCCTCCAAAACATCGTCCCCAGACCCCCCCAGGCCCTCCAAGATACCTTGGAAAAGACCCCCCCCGAAATGAGACCCCCCTCCCTTTATTACGAAATCTGGAGTATTTGTCCTCCTTCCCCGACCCCTCCCCGTCTCTCCGCGGTCCTCTCCCGTCTCGTCCCCTCCTCTCCCCTTTCCCCCTCCCTGCATCTGCTTCTCGTTTCGCCGGTTCGCTCCCACCCCCTCCCCCATCCCCCGCTCCCGAAGCCACCTCTCCCCCTTCCCCCCTGTCCGTCCGCCGAGCAAGCCGGCCAAGCCTGCCACACTCCAGCGAGGCCGAGGGAGGCGCGAACGCGAAGCCCAGCCCAGACGGGAGGGCTACCGCGGCCAGGGCGGAGGCCGCGGCCAAGCAGCGGGAGCGCCAGCGCGCCATGGCCGGGGCCAGCGAGTCTACGGAAAAATGCTGGAGGAGAGCCGAGGGGAGAATTCCGTCGCGAAGGCTCCCCAGCCCTCGATGCACACGGCTCGGCCCCCTCCCGCTGGCACACCTTCGCACGCCGAGCAAGTGCCGTCAGGACATGGGCGACGACGAGAGCAGCGGAGATACAGATCCCCTCTCAAGAGGCGACAACTGGACGTCACCAGCGCTCCAATTCATGCGTGCTGCGCTCATCCTGACTAGTCTGGCAGGACACAGCCTCCCGACGAAAGCGGGAGCATGAAGTTGGCACACCCATGAAAACGATTAACGAAGAGAGAGTACGATTTGAGTCAGATAGCGAGTTGCTTCACTGGACCGTCGCAAACTGTCTTGCTAAGTGTGTGAGTGATTGATTGCAAAACCATCCATCGCTGCCAGTTCATTGCATTATGACCCAGCCGATCTGCTAGGAATCAGAAGCTCTGGCGATGGCAATGGCGATATTCAAGGGGCGGTTGACTAGGACGACAGGGAACTCGACGATGAGGATACTGTGCGGCTGACGAAACCTGTGGATGCTGACAAGCATATTGCTGGTCAGGTAAGACTGGGATGAATTTGCTGGGTCTCGTGCCCCGACCCCGGGGCCGAGGTGTCGAGAATCCTTCGTGCGAGAACGCCGGATTGGGACGTGCCTTGGCGGCGAGCAGAAGGGGGTAGGGGGAGGGGGGAAGGCTTCTCAGAAGGGGGCTGCTTCTTAGAAGGCGCCGGCCTTGCATCTGCAGACAAGGCCCGCACCTCCTGAGAAGCAGGGGTGCTTCTAAGAAGCCTTCCCCCCTCCCCCTACCCCCCTCTGTGCGCCGCCAAGTGCCCCTGGATTGTCCTGAGCTCCCGCTCCGGCCTTCGCAAGCGGTGTCAGCAGGTGCGACGAGGTCCTCACCTTGAGAGGGCCTCGAAGCCGACCTGTCGCGGCCGACTCCACTCAGCCGAACCCTCTCCCGTGCGTTGAGCCGCTCTGGACACCCTTTCCGCTCTGGGAAATATTTTCCGCGCTCGCGCGGTCGAGGTGCCTGAGGGAACGGGAGACGCGACTGCCGGCGCCCCCCGGCGGAAACCCGCATGGAGAGCGCACTCCCTGCCGAAGCGGGCCCTGGGCCCAGCACCACGAAATGCCTCGACAGTGTTGGCGCGCCGCGGGCCGTCGCGGCCATTTTTTTTTTTTGTTTTGTAAAATGTGTGTATATATATATATATATATATATATATATAAGCCCAAGAAGGGAGAAAACTCCCCCCCCCCCCCAAAACTGGACTCCCGGGATCTGGGGCTTTGGGACCCTCCGGACGAGCCTCGAAGCGGCCCCCCGGGCCTCGCAGGGCGTTTTGCCAAGCCTTCCCAGCACACCTAGGGCGATCAGGGGAGGGCATCGGAGACGTCTCAGAGACCCCAAGTTAGCATAAGAGCGCTCCAAGAATGACCGACGTGACCTCAAGATGGCCCAAGAGGCCTCCAAGATGGCCCCCAAGAGGCCTCCAAGAGCACTCCCAAGAAGGCCCCAAGAGGCAGGATTTTCTGTTGGTTTTTGGGGGTTCTCCTATTTTCGGCTTCCCGACGCTCCAAGACGGCGGTCTTCTGGGCGTCCGAACCGCCTGAGAGGCTCCAAAATCGCCCCACAACCATCCGAAAGGGCTTCCAGGCAGTCCAAGAGAGCCCCAAAACGGCACAACACGGGTCCAAGATGGCCCTCAGAGAGCCCCATGGCGGCCCAAGATGGCCCCAAGACACCCTCCGAAGCATTCCAAATCGTGACCCGGTCGTTCAGGGAGACCGCGGTTGGAGGCAGGGTGGCCCGAGATCCCAGAGGCCCCCAGAATACGCCCAGGAGGCCTCCAGAAGGCCTTAAGAAAGCCTGAAACAACTTTTGTGAGGCCCCCAGAGGCTCTCCCAGAAGGAGCCTCCGCAAAAAAGAGCTGACGAGAATGGGGAGAATGCGCAGGGTATGGCGAAAATGAAGAAAAGAGGCATGGAAGAAGGATAACGAATAACGTTATCATAGCAGCGATGCCAGAAAGGGCAACAAGGAGTGATCGCTAAATTGTCGGCTTGACCTTCCTGCTATTCCGCCTGCACACCAAACTTCAAGGACCAAGGTGCATGGCGCGAAGCGCCACTGCAGTCAGGTATATATATATATATATATATATATATATATATATATATATATATATATATGTATATATGTATATGTATATGTATATGTATATATACGTATAATTATACGTATATGTATATATCTCTCCTGAGTGCTACGCTGGGATCTGCGTCCGCAAATGTTCGAAATTCTTACCACAAACGGCCACGACTTGTGGCACACCGTTGACCCTCCCCGGAAGCACGAAAAAAAACGACCCGCGCGAGCGCCCGCGGACGTCCTGACGCGGAAGAACCTCCACCAAGCTGGACCGCGCGCCGCTCCGGAGACTGCTCGATTGGCTCTCGGCTGTGGCACTTCTGGCTCTGCAGCACCGTCGCTGCCGTACTGCCCACCAAAACCGCTGTTTTGCAGGCGCCAATTCCCAGTCCGTCAGGCCCGGTGGAGGCCCGAGAACGTGACCGCAAACGATGGGGACAGAAGAAGAAGATATAGACATTCAGATTGGGCCCACAAGTAAGCTCATGATGATGATCACTACTTCTATATCATCAGCCGCTTTCCTCTAAAATCACCGACCCCTCGGGGTTACCAGCGTGTGAGGGACTTTCCCCTCTTCGAACCCTCCCCTGGCGGGGCGACTGGGCCGGTTGGGAAGGGGAAGAGAGGTGCTAAACAAACATCCAAGAAACCCCCAAAAGGCTTCGAAGACGGCGCAAGCGGCCAAGATGCTTAAGACAGCCCAAAACAGGGCCCAAGAATCGCATGAGAGACCCCAAAAGAGAGTCTAAAAGAGGTTGACATCGAGCGTTTATTCTTTTCAAACTTGATTGATCGCCTTTCGGGGGCGGGTAAGTTTAGGCCGTGCAAGAGAGCACGCAGAACAATACGATATGTACACGCTCTTGCCGTTCAGAATCACGTGGATCGCACCCCGGAGCGACCGCTGCACGGCGAAGCCGACCAATTTCGCTTAATCGCCAGAATTCCACGACTGGCGTCGCTTGGCGGCGGCCGGCAGCCTGCGCACCATCGAAACTGACGTCAGCAAATTGCACAGATAGCCATACAATTTGCGCCGCCGAGGTCAAGTTCGGCGCTTGGCTGGCAGTTTTCGCGGATCTCGCGGACAACGCAGACGCAATTAACTTTTAAAGAGTTGTGGGTCGCGGCCCAGGCCTTTCGAGCAGAACCCGAACGGTTGCGCGGCGATGAGAATGGATAACACGGCCGTCACACATCACGTGAACTTTGGGTCCGGAACCGAACCTCGTGCAGCTGGCCGAAGAATTCGAGCACGCTGATCGCTCGGCTGGGTGCTGGCGTTTGGCCGTGCATCTGGCTGGCGCAGCGAATGTCGTCTCGGATTCGGGGTCCCGAGACTCGACCCTTGCATCTCGGTGGAACGCAAGCCCTGCCTGCGAGGCTTCGTTGAAAAAGTCAGCGATGGACCGTCTCTCTAACAAATTCGGCCCATTCGACTGCCATTTGTTCGCGGACCGCGAGGGGGGGGGGCACCGCGAAAGCCCCGCATTGGTTGCACCCCGAATACACAGCCTTTGAGGCGCAGGCGTTAGGAAAACAAATTGTGGGCACGCCCCACCACACGCCTTGGCGGGGCATGCCTTTTCGTTCCTGTCCACAGCGCTTGCCGAAGGCAAATATTTCACTGTTTCTCACGGCGCCAGCGGACACCGGAGCACCTTGGTTCCGACATTGGTAACATATCATGTGGCCTACGCTTGCTCGATGGAAATCTGGATCCGATTTGTTTCGCATTCCGCGCCCGGACCGCCGGGCGAAAGCCCCGGTCACGGACCTGCCAAATCCTGCTTCTCCCGCCGCACAGACAAACATCCCAGCGCGTCCCCATCCCTCGCGCTGCGTTCTCTCACCGCATTTTCTACTATCTGTCCACCTCGCCGCCTCCCCGCCCACCCCCGGCCGCGCGAATCCAGCCCACCCCTTCTTCGACGCAGCCGCGCGGGGCTCAAGCGGAGGTCGCAATCAACGCACTGCACTCCTAAATTGAAACAACTCTCTTCCTGCGCCGCGACTCCCCCGCCGCGGCCCAGCCACAGCAGACCCCGTCGCACCGGGCGTCTTGAGCGACGCGCGGGCCATTCGGCCGGGCGGCCCCCTAGAAGCAGCGTTCGCCCAGGCCGCCCAATCTGTCTCGCAGGCGGACGCGGCCTCCGACGTCGGGGGGGAACCCCCACGGCGATCAAAGCAACGACGGAGACGTTCGAGACACTAAATTCGAACAAAGACACTCTCGAGCAGCGCGCGCCAACGAGCGAGGCGGTCGTCGCGAAGGCCAACAAGCCGGAAGCTCACCTGGGTGCTGCCTTCCCCTGGCGCGAGGTGAAACGATGCACGGAAACCCAGGAGTAGTTGGCCGGGTGGAACCGTCTCTTCGTGGACAATGACTGGCTTTCGAACGTCTCAGCACACTCTTTAATGTTTAAAGATAAACTGTTTTTTTCATGTCTTAATAAATAATATAATAACAATGATAAAAGAAGAAGGATAAATCTATATATATATATATATATGAATATATTTATATATAACTTTTTGAAATAAAAAATCATAATACCCGAGCATAACAGAGGCGCATGATCAATAACGCGATCAGTCTGCGCAACGCGCCCAATACCACCCTGAAGAAGCTGCGCGCGTCGTCGTTTGGAGGCGGTCCGGACCGCTGGCCGCGCCTTCATGTCGGAAAAGGTAGCGACCTGGGACGACAAGGTAGTTGCTGCCAGGGAAGGCGTTTGGGTTTCTTTCTCCTGCTCGAGCACTAGCACGTCAGCGCCGCACCTCGACGACCAAGATGGCCGCACAAAAGAATGCGATGCCTCTGTTGTTCGCGGCCGTCGAACCATCGC